AGCACCTAAAGGCAGATTGGACTGTAGCTAAACTAGTGGCAAGTCCTAAAAATTAAAATTAAAATCACACTGCAATGTGCAATGTGTATGGCCTGTCGTGTCCGGGGTGGGCAGGAGGCGTGTAGGGCACAAATGGAAAAGTCCGGGCTGCAAATAACCGCATGGTTAGATGACAAACACAAATCTCTTGCTTACACGTACGATGCAAAATGCGGCCGTAGAGCAAAGCGTGCAGGAGTGGGGAGCAGCCAAAGTGCAGCTGGGTACGGCGCATCGAATCATTTCCGAATGCCAAAGCGAAAGTCTCGAAAAAGATAGCAACGGACGGCCATTTAACGTGGCTTTCTCTCCGTTCCTCTGTATGGGGCCCGTCCTTTTAATGGCGCTGGCAAAAACTAACGAACCGCCGCCTCCAGCCGCCTCTTGATGGATTGGGCCCGGGCTCCTCCACCTGTCGTCGTCGCCATCGCCATCGCCATCATCAGGATTAGATGCGAGCTGCGGCAGCTGTTGCCCAAGAGCGATGCAATTGCTGTCTCGCAAATCATGCAACCGGCTCAAACTCAGCCAGATGCGAGGCACCTACCGACCGACCGACCGACCTACTGCTGATATCTACTTGAATTTACATATCTTTCTCGATATCCTCACTCTCTGAGTCAAGTGGGCTTTCAGTTATTTAAAGTTGTAGATTTACTCACTATTTTATTAGGGTGTTAAAGGTGCTCGATTTGAGTTTGGAATTGAAATGGAAATACATATGTATATAGTAAATTGATTGAAAGCATTTATCAAAGTAGGTAAAGAATATGAATAGATATACCCTTATAAACTCTATTTAGACTTATTCCAGTTTTAGGCAAATTATACTAGACTTTTATTATTTGATCTACGCAGTAGTAGTTCCATTTTGTATATGAATCAACATTCTTAGAGCCTTCGATTATTTTCATATTTCATATGTTGCAACAGCATTTCAACTGAATTTCCTGCGAAATTTAACATGGTTTTAAATTTCATTTCTAACGGAGAGGGCGAACTGATTGATATGTTTTGTATATGTTTTAATTGAATTTAAATGCAACACTATGGGCCACGTATGCCACAGTTTTATTGAGTATTGAATTTTAAAAAAAATATATATAAACTAAATAAATATCGAAATATTCTAAATTCAATATTTAATTTTACATTTTATTTTTACACATATTTTTTACTATTCTGTGACTTAACTTAGTTAAACTGTATTCAAAAATATTGTTTATATATAAATATTTTTTTTTTTACTTTACATTTATTTATTTTTTTTATTTTATATTATTTTATTTTATTCTATTTTTTTTTTTCTTGATTTTTGGCAAATTTTAAGCTAGCCAATAAATTAAATTTAAGCCTTCACA